GCCTGGCCTACCTTGCCCTGGTCCAGGTCCATCACCACTGTGTCCTTTCTCTCAACCAGGAATTCAAGGTGATGGCACTGATGAAGGAACTACAGGGCTCGTGTCAGGAGCTCGAGGTGGTTCCTGACATGAACTTCGTGTCTTGGTTTAACAACCGGAACCGCCTCAGTGAATTGGAAAGGTGAGCTGGGGTAGGCTGTGGGGGCAACAAACATGGGAATCCCCAGCACCAGTCCATGAGAGCCTGTTGCCTGAGTCAGCCTCCCACTGAGACCTGTTGAAGGAAGGGTGTATGAGCTCCTGAGTCCCCAGGGCCCCTGGGAGGGAAGCCCAGGGTGGAGCCTGCTGTCCAACCAGCTACTTCTTGTCTTAGCTCCAAGCTATCCAGGGAGCTGGAGCCTCCCCGCCGGGTACTTGTCCTGACCAGGAACAACAAGAGGAGCCCTCCCCTGGGGAAGCACTCAGGAAAGTAAGTACATTGGCCCAGGGGCCAGGGACTCCCCAGGGTCTGGGTGGTGGGACAGGCAGCCTGATGAGCTGGGGCTGCCATCCCACCACCTGCCACACAAGCCTTTGTCTGGGTGGGGTGGCCTGACCTCTGCCCACCTCACTTCCTTCATTGGGGTCCCACGGTGGTCCTCAGAGGATGGGGCACATGGGTACTTGAAAATGAACAGTAATGAAGGCTGCCTCAAGCCCAGGGGGCAGTGGGTGTGGGACAGCCCTGTGTGCTCAGGGAAGCCCTGGAATTAAGGCAGTCCCTCCATTCAGTTGCCAGGCTTTGACAAGAGAGCTCAGCAACAATGGTAGTTCCCAGTTGGAGACAAATGATCAGCTCAGCGGTGGGAATGGCAGCCATGTACCCAGCGTGCACTTGAGGAGCTCACCCAAGCCTTCTTCACACTGCAATCGATTGTATCAGTCTGCCCCAAACATCTACATGGCAAAGATGACAGAATATGAGGGAATCTTGCCGTTCCTGAGCCCCCAGCCCTCCAGGCAAGCTGGGCATGGGGCTCTATCCTAGGCTGTCCTTTATTCAGCCCAGATGCCTGGACTCCAACCAGAGAAAATCATATTCTCCAATGAGTTATGGGAAATGCATTGCACAATGCACAAAGACTCAAATGTCAGGTCATTTAGATTAAAAACCTATGTGGAAACACTAATAGTCTGTTAAAACCATTTCTTTACAAGAGCAAGGTTTTGGTGGGTGCTTTTCTTTGCCTTCCTTAATGGCAGAGACTTCCGCATATCCTATTCTAAGAAGAAATCCTTTCAGGCTTTGAGCTCTTTTTTTTTCCTGCAGAATGAGCAAGAGCAGGTCCCTTTAGGGGCTAGGATTTCAGTCAGGTGTTTTCATGAAAACTGTTCCACAAGCCTTGAAATTTCAGTGTTGAAACGTCTCCTTTGCAACAGCCATCATCTGTGTGGGAAGCTGCTGGCTTCTGTGCAGGCAGGGAATCCACCTCAACCTTCTGGGAGGGAGTGGAGTCACCATGCAGGACCCTGGGGGGAAATGAAATGAGACCACACCAGACCCAGGGCAGTACTTCAGGGAGGGAGACACTGCTGAGCTGCAAGAAGAGCTAAACGTAGTCACACCAAAATCACAGTTCTTCCAAAGCAAGTACCTGCCTAAAACTATAAGCACAGTGATGAAGGGAAACCCAGGGAAACATGTAAAGGAGAAGATACAGATCACAGAAAGCACATCAGTCAAACGCCAGAGCCACTCACAGTTTCCTAAGGGAATATAAACCCTCTTGACTCATCATTTCTTTGAGTTCAAATAATTCTTCAATAGTTGCCCTCCTGAGCTCTTATGCCAGTTAAAGGAAGAAGATACATTATCTTTTCTCCATTACACAGTTGAAGAAAGCCATGGCAAGAGCACTTCCCCTTTGTGTTTACAATACCAGAGTTCCAGTGAACAAAATTCCATCTGGCCAAGCAGACACATGACCAGGAAGGAAAGTGGGGACTACGCTTCTAGACTCCTCCACAGAGCAGTAGCAAAGGAGCCCAGCAAGAGATCAATAGAGGTTAATGCACTTAATGTTGTTTCAATCCTCTACTGTAAATTACCTGCCAGGTGCTTGTGACTCACATCTGCAATTTCAGTGTCTCAGGAGCCTGAGATCTTCAACCTTATACAACTGAGATACACACTGTCATTCCAGATATCCTTGCAGACTGTTGAAACCTAAGACGGTCAAAATATAAGCTTTCATATCCATGACCATACAGTGGAGTTCAGATTTTGCATGAAAGCTACATTTCATGAAATGGTTAAATTCTATCAGATGCAAGAATAGAATAGTCAACCCAACTTCCTAATGGAATCACTGCCCAAATGAATGACCTAACAGCATGAGTGCTGGATGTGATGAGAGGGGAAACAAAGCTGAAGATACAATGTTTTGTTGTAAAGAGAAATGTTTCCTTTCTCCTGTGAGGAGCTTTCAGATAGCTTTCCAGAAGTATCCTTTTAAGTGGATATTTTGGTTCAGCCATTTATCAGGAATTTCCAGTTTTATTGGATTATAAGCAGCAAATATGTACCACAATTTACAATCTTTTCGTAGAGCTTTTATAAGAAAAAAATTAGCGCTTTTTCTAGCTCTTTTCTAGCTCTTTCCCAGGTCTTTCTCCTCACCCCCGCCCCCAGGGTCAAGATGGCCAGGTGCCAGCCAGGAGGATGAATAAACCTATGCCTTACCTGAAAAGAAAAAAGAAAAAATTTATTTGAGATCAATAAAATTGTGTATTGCCATTGCATCTACTACAGATGACTTGTTATCCACTGTCTATAGCATACAAATTCTTATTTTAATCTACTAACATATTTGTCATTGAGATAAAATATTTTTCCTAATTTTTTTTTGGGATCCGGTCATGGGGCCTCAACTCTGGGCCTGGGTGCTGTCCCTCAGCTCTTCAGCTCAAGGCTAGCGCTCTACCACTTCAGCCACAGGGCCACTTCCAGCTTTTTTGTTTTTGCTTATGTGTTGCTGAGGAATCGAACCCAGGGCCTCAGGCATGCAAGGCAAGCGCTCTACCACTGAGCCAACTTCCCAGCCCCTTTTCCTAATTCTTATATACTGAGATGTGAGGTTAGTTGTGTCATAATTTGTGTGTGTGTGTGTGTGTTTTGATCCTGGGGCTTGAACCCAGGGCATGGGCACTGCCCCTAAACTTTGTGTTCAAGGCTACCACTTGTGGCTTTTTTGTGGTTCATTTTAGATAAGAGTCTCTTGGACTTTCCCACCCAGATTGACTTTGAGGAGCTAGGATTATAGGCATGAGCCACCAGTGCCCTATATGATGTTAGTTTTTATCATTGTTGGTGACACACCACACCGGTAATTTACTCCCTACTCTTCTCTCAGGCAAATCTATCATATCCCTTTCTAGTTTATCCTAGTTCAGGTTGGACCAGGATCCTTTGAACCTGCAGTCATCCATGGAGCTACACACACAGGTGCATGCCGCCACACCACACCCAGCTTACTGTTTGAGGTAGGGTCATGCTAACAGTTTTATTCAGCCTGGCCCTGAAGTGTGTTCCTCCCAATTGCTGCCTCCCCACTAGCTGGGACTGCATGCATGAGTCATGTGTCCAATCTCATGTAATGTTTATCAGGCATGAGGAAGGTGGAAGGGGGAAGGTCAGAGATCTGTAAGACTCTTCAGGGAATGGTAGCATACAACCTTCTGAGCTCCATCCAATATCTATGAATACCTGGAACTGAAATTGCTTCAGAGCCCACGTGCTCAAGGCTGGCCACTAGCCTCTGGTGTTACTTAAGAAGCAGAAGGAAGTGAAGTCATGGGGTCCCCATGGGAAAAGTTGTTGGGACCTTGGCTTTGCCATTATGTCGTTTCTGCTTCCTGACCATCCCCAGCTCAACAGCTTTGTCATGATTTCTGCCTCCACACAGGCTCAAAGAGAGGGGGCCAAGTGACCATGGATGGAAATCCATAAAACTTGGACCAAAAGGATCCTTTTGTCCTTTTACAGGCTTTGGTCAGGTATTTGGTCACAGCCACAGAAAATGACAAAAGTGGTCGTTTCTGGCCCAAGTCTTTGAGCTGGTTTTTCTCAAGAGATCACAGCTGGTGCTGTGGGATTGGTCTAACTTTTTGTGTGCTACATGTAGAAACAAGGCTGGAAACATAGCTTGAGTAGCCTAGCCAGATGAATCTGCACATAGCTGTCCAGTAGGACTTTCTGCCGTTAAAAACCTTCTCTGATGCTCTGCAACCCCACAACCACAGTTGGGTACTCATCACAAGCCATGGAGAGTGGGAATACTTACCATTATTGGACTTGAGCAAATTTAGTGTTCATAACCCTATCTGAGAGAAAGGACTTGGATAAAGAATGAGTGGAAGCATTCTTGGGACATTGACCAGAGACCCTTTAGTCCAGGGTACAAGAGCATAGGAACTGACTGCCTCCTCACTTGCAGAGGACAAGAAGTCTTCCACAAAGCACAGAGCCACACATTCAGTTTTGTCAGGGAGTCCTTATTTCTAATGGAGATCTCCCCAGAAATGCCATCTGCTCAACACTAGAACATGAACAGGCTCAGAAACACCTGAGGCTCACTTCTTTGATCATAGTGCTTTGCTTTTCTGTCCTCAAGATTGAAGGCTCCTAAGAATCCCTGGGTGTTTTTGAATACACAAGAGCTCATTTCAAAGCCCTCTCACCTCCTCTGCCATTTGACTGAAGAAATCCTTTCCCAGCGAGCATCTTTTTCTCTTCTGCTTCTTGACAAAGCCTGTATTGGTAATCTTCATTGACAGAGTCAAGACAGATATAGATGTGATGTGAGATCACATGGAACACAAGTAAAGGCTGGTTATGTACAGGCACTATTAAAGCACCCAGATTTACATGCATATCATCAAATTTACAGATTTACCTGCACCTCATTAAATCTCTGGGGAAAGTAAGCATACTGAGACTTACCTGTAATCCAGGCTACTTGGGAGGCAGAGGTAGGAACATTGTGTGTGTTTAATTCTTCGAATCGTTCTTTTGAATGGAATTTCCTCCAATTGACATCATGACAAACAGTTGCTGTGAAATTGTTAACATTTTTTTCTTTTTTCCTTTTTTTTGGGGGGGGGGTCTGGTCGTGGGGCCTGTACTCTGGGCCTGGGTGCTGTCTCTCTGCTCTTCAGCGCTCTACCACTTGAGCCACAGCACCACTTCTGGCTTTTTTTCTTTTTGCTTATGTGGTGCTGAGGAATCAAACCCAGAGCCTCATGCATGCAAGGCAAGCACTCTAAAACTGAGCCACCTTCCCAGCCCCTCCTTTTTTTCTTTGTTGGTCATGGGGCTTGAAATTTGGGTTTGGTACTGTACCTGCGCTCTTCAGGTCAAGGCTAGTGCTCTACCACTGGAGCCACACTGCCACTTTTGGGTGTCTGGTGGTTAATTGGAGATAAGAATCTCATGGACTTTCCTGCCTGGGCTGGCTTTGAACCATGATTCTCAGATCTCAGTCACCTGAGTAGCTAGGATTACAGGCATGGGCCACCATTTCCTGGCAACATTTTAAGAGCCATATTGTCTTGTTATTTCCTAACAGAATGCATATGCCCACACGTGTGAGTGTATTTTTTTTTATTGTGAAAATACTGTACAGAGGGGTTACAATTACATGGGCAAGATAATGAGTACATTTCTTTCAAGCATTGTAGCCTCCTCCTTTGTTTCCCCTTCTCATCCCATCCTCTCCCCACACCCCCACCTAACCCTCCTCTCCTCCCCCCCACCAAAGTTGTAAAGTTCATTTTTGACACAACGACTTGTATGTCTCATTGTTGCAATGGGTCCACCTGTATCCCTATTTAAACGATTTTTTTCCCTTCCCCTCCACAAATTATAACAACATCAAATACAGTGAAAGCAGGGGTAATACCGTGGGGGAGGGACATACGAAGCAACAAAGAAATAATCTTTTTTGGGGGGGTCCGGTCATGGGGCCTGAACGCTGGGCCTGGGCGCTGTCCCTCAGCTCTTCAGCTCAAGGCTAACGCTCTACCACTTGAGCTACAGCGCCACTTCCAGCTTTTTTCTTTTTTGCTTATGTGGTGCTGAGGAATCGAACCTAGGGCCTCAGGCATGCAAGGCAAGCGCTCTTCCACTGAG